GTCTGTGGCTCGTTTGATGTTCGTACTGAAGCGGCATTCGCCTGGAGTTTATCGGAGGCACCACTAGAAATCACCAACCTGAGCAGCCGGCGGCTACTTACATTTTAATTATTAACTTTACGTTAGCTCTTAACAAGCACGACGACTTTCCGAATACAAGCCCTCTTTTTTTACATGATAATATTCCCTTAGTTACCTTTCCATTCCTTCAATTTTAGGAATCGGCTTAAACATTCTTTGCATCCAGACGGGAGCGAAGGCGGAAGCGGAGGAGGGTTGGGGGCAAGGATGAATGCACGAACGGAGGAGGAGGCGATAGTGAACAGAGATGGCGGTTGAACGGAGGCAGAAAGAGAAGCTAGAGCTGCGTTGGCGAAACGGGAGCGAAGGAAGGCGCTAGCTCGCATCCGCGGCCTCTCGTAGAAGAGGATTCCGAGCGCGCTGGAGCCAAGGAAAAAGAAGACATGCCCCCGGGGGGAGGGCAGGGAAAATGAAATACGACCTCTGAACGTCAATATGTCTCTCATATTACTTTTTTTCGTTTGTATTTACTCTGGACGAGATGTCGTTCGTGGTGTGCTGAGGATGACACGTATTTTCGCCGACGCACATGAATAGGATGTTATCGTATCAAGACGGCTCCACACAATCGGCATTCGCCGAATAGCGAGCTACTGGTCGCCCAATCAAGAACAGCTGATGTGTTCGGTGAATTTTCGCACCCTTTGATGTGTCCTGAAGACAGACACGCGGTGTTAGTGCGAATACCGACTGTTCGGAGCTCGGCGAATCGCAAGCAACCCGTTCACACTACTCGGGATTCAGCGAGCGGTTGCTCGGGACTCGCCGAATGCCGCATGTGTGGAGCCGCCTTTAGAGAAGATCACCTTCGCCTCGGGGCAATGATTCATGATAGGCATCGAAGGTTAACTTCGCAATTGTGAAGGCGAAGATCATTAAGGGAAAAATCTCAGCCACTGATTGATCTTAAAGAATGGCCTTCAGTGAAGATGTTTAGTTTAAAGACGGTGTACTATCTGGTGCCGAGAGCTGAACAAAAAAGTTCAGTGGGAAATGTAATTTACGTTGAATGACGTTGAAGTAATTTCGCGTACGATGGATGCATTGTAATAGTAGCGAGCGAGTATCTCTTAGAGATAATATTATACCTGTAAATACTTAAGTTCTGGCGTATTCTATTCTTCGCGTTCGAGGTACTCTTCAAACGCGCTGTTTAATATTCATAATTCGCAGAGAATTCTAAGTGATTTTTCGCAAGATAGATTGCGCTGGCCTTCTTTGAGAATCTAGGTCAGCCACCTGCACATCTTTTTCTTCCATCCGTTTTTTCATCCGCCCACGCAGCCGTCGCTTTCGTCTCCCCGCCCGAAATGGATGTCTGCTTCTCTTTATTCAGAGTTCATCGGCCAGTGGTCTTCCGCAATCTACAGGGTGGGCGTGACGAACATGGAGGATAATTATAAACCGACTATCACAATCGCATTATTTGGATACTGCGCTGACGAAACGCAAGTTGTTGGGAAGCGCCCAAACTTTAAGCTTGTTCTTCTTTTTCCTCTTCAGTATTTCTTTCCTTCTCGTATCCTTTATCTATTACCCCTTTCTACTTTCCTATCCCCCTCTTTTTCCTCCTTCTCCTTTGCCCAGTACCTCCTTGACTCCCGTTTTCTTTTCCTCCTTTCCCTCATCTTCCTCTCCTCCCCCATAATCTTCCTCCTCTTAACCTCTTTCTTTTCCTTCTTTGAGTCCATATTTTCCCCTGTGTCTCCTTATTTTCCCATCTCTTCTGTTCCTTCTTTCCCCCGCGTATTTTGACTTCTCGTTTTCCTATTTCACCTCCTCTGTCTCCTGCATTTTGTGTCCTCCTTCTCCGCTTGCTTCACCTTCCATTTCATCATCCTTTCCTTCATCATTTTACCTCCTCTCTTTTACGTCTTCCTCTTTTCTTACTTCCTCCTCCACGTATTTCGCCCCCGTCTTCTGTCTACGTTAGTCCCCACTTAGGCACAGCGTTCATCCTCTTTATTCGCCCTTTTCTTTCTTCCCCATCTTCTCGTTCTCCATTTTATTCTGTTTCTTCTCTTCTCCTTATTACCCTCGCGTATTTTGACTTCTCGTTTTCCTGTATTTCACCTCGTCCTCTGTCTCCTACAATCCCTCCCCTTCCTCTTTGTGTCCTCTTACTGTCCTCACTCTTTATGTCCTTTCCTTGCAGTAGCTTAGATTTCATTATCCCTTCCCTTCTTAATCTCTTCCTCCATTCCTACTCCTCCATGTCTTCTGTCTCCCGCCTTCTTCCCTACATTCGTCCTCACTTACGCGTAGTGTTCCTCCTCTTTACTTCCCGTGCTCCTCCTCCTCCGTCTTCTCGATGCACTCTGACTTCTTCCCACTCTTCGCCCCGGCCAGTGCTGTCGTGGTGGCCGCCCATCGCGTCGTCGCGGTCGTCGTCGTCGGCGGCGTCGTCGGAGGGAAGTGAAAGCGACGAGGCCTTTCGGGGCGGGGCGGGGCGGCGCACGTGATCCGGCGCCCCTTATTAACGGGCCACGCCGCGCCA